GTTTACAAGACTGACGCTCTACCACTGAGCTATAGGGGCTCTGATATTGGATATTCATACTTTTTAAAGAAATCCTTACTTTCAATATTTTTTAAAATGTAGTCTATCAATTTTATTATTTAGTAAATATGATTTTTAACATAAATGAATAAAAAAGATGAAAAAACAAGATAAAATATCTCCTTCAATTTTAAAATTGTAGTCTATCAATTTTATAAAGCATCTCAAATTATTGTCATTTTTAATCTTTAATATAACGAATTGGAGGCTGAGAGATGACAAATACTAGTGTTTGTCTTTTGGTGTTATGAAAATAACAAGAGGATAGACGAGAGTGACTTGAACTAGAAGGTCAAAATTGAGTTAGATGGGGACTTCTAAGTTGTGAAAGAATAAGGGATGGCCAAATGTTGTGTGCTATATTTCATGAATTTTTTATTTTCGATATTTCTCGGTATTTCAATATATACCAATCTCAATCTCATAATCATGAATACCGAATAGCACTCTAAAATGAATATCAATCTCAATCCCTAAAAAATAAGATGGTATTCGATAATACCAAATAGTGATAAATTCGGTACGATATTCGGTATATCCCAAATACCGGTACCAAACTTCCAGCCCTAGATACGAGTGGTCTAATGGCAATAAATTAATTAATTTCATTCAACAATGGATAAAAAATCATTCATAAATTCATCACTCGTTCAACTAAAAAAATTATATATTTTTGAGTAAAAAATAGTAAGTCTTTTCATTTTTTTTTTTTTTTGGTAATCGATCTTTTCATTTCCAACGCTTGCACAGATAGAACTAATAAATTAATATACTCCCTCCAAGAAGGAAGAAGAAAAAATAATCTGGATAGGGATCAATATAATATATCATTCATCATGGATTGGGATGACAATTGCCCTACAGATTGATTATGGGTATGGTATTGGTGAAGTAAAGGGTTCGGAGTGGGTTTGAGTAGAGTATGAATATTGCTTCCATAATCTAAATGAGCATGGGCAGGGTATGGATATTCATTTACTTGAGGTTGTTTTTAACTATGCGTATTAAAATTAAAATTTGACCTATTTGTAAAAGGGTTAATTTCCTAGTTTGGCATAAGTATCAATTTTGGTCCGAACTTTCAAATAATACGGTTATGGCCAACTTTAGAAAATAATGGACAGTTTAGCTCGAATTTTTAGTTGACCGTCAATACTAATGGTCAAATATTTTTATCGTTAATGACTTAGCAAAAAACTTCTGACGTGCCTGATGCATGACGCCACTATTTTAAAAGTCCCCTTGAAAAAAATTTAAATAATTCCCTAAAATTTACCCTTTTCCTTTTTTGTCTTTTTTATAAATTTTTTTAAGAATGAGTAATTGTCATGGACGGCAGATCGGCATCTTTTTGCTGACTCATTAATGATAAAAAAATGTTGGGCCAATTCCACTAGAAAGCACAAACTATTCAAAAAGTGTTATTTGTGTCCTAAACTATTCAATATGACAAATCTGGCACGAACTATTTTTTTTTAATGTTGACTGGCGTAGACCATTAGTATTTGACAGAAAATCTAGTCAGCATTTATGTGGTTTGTGCCAGATTTGTCATATTGAATAGTTTTTTTTTTTTAGGGAGTCATATTGAATAGTTTAGAACACAAATGTCACGAAACGCATATAGTTTTGGAGGCAGTAAATTCATTAATAATCAAAATTCACAAGGACCTCACATTGTTCACTCAATCTTAAAAAACCTAGTCAATTAAACAAGCGATTTCAATCTACCCCAGGTTACATCAGCGACGGCTTGGGTCGTGAACGCCGGGGAATCTGACAATCCAGGGTTAGAAACAGAGATGGATGGCCATTGATGGCTGGAGCGGTGAGGATTGGCAGCAACCGGGAAGTTGATAGCAAGTGAGATCTATGTCGGATGCTTGTGAACCGGGAGAGGACGGCGACGATGGTTAAAATTGGAGACAATGAGAAGCGATGTCAAAGTAGCTTTTCCCCGTCTAGTTTCATCGGAAAAGGATGATCGTCTCAAAGCCGCACTTTCATTTCAAAAAATCCACGCTCTCATAATAAGCAATCCACAAATTTGGGGTGCTCTGCTTTTTTGCGTTTTGGCGAATTAGAGCGGGATCGCGGGGCTGTAGAGGCGAATTGGGTTACCTAAATCTAAACAGGCCAATAGAACAACCTGAATTGGAAGTAGTGAATCAATTGTGCGAGAGTCAATCGATTCAGTACTCTGTACTGGAATCCATTCCAATAGAGAAAATCTGTGTTTACTGCATTATCATTTTATCTCGTTTGAGGTTAGTCGCCCGCCAGGTACGGTGCATAAGAGGGCTTGGTCAACTTAAGAGATTCCAAACTTGTTTCGGATCTTCTATAGTATAATTATCAATTGAATTGAATTGAATTGGGTGAATTACAATTTGACCTAACTGCATATTAGGGGAAATCATTTTCTGAGTGGTCTTTCTCGAACTTGAAAACTAGAACAATTGACTTGCTTTCTTTCTACTTTTGCTTGCAAACAACTTCACTCAACTTTGACCGCCAGATAATAGAAGTTCACGGAGTAACTAGTACTCCTAGTACTTGGGTTAGCAATCTAAATCGAACCCACTTTATTGCAGTCCCTTGTAGTGGTTATACTTGGCCACTATAAGGAGTGTTGATTTTAGTGAGTCACCGCCAAGCAGTGTTCCTTATTTATTAATGCTCACCGAAGTTCTTTGCTAGGCGTCGACATTCTTAGGTTTCTCTCTACTACTCCTGGACTTGGAGTGATCCCTTGTATTTCATAGGCGATGGTGTTTCACCTGTCGTAGAAGTCGGATAGCGACTCCTACCCTCGTTGCCTGCAGTTGATGAGGGCCAACACCGTGAGCTTGTGACGTATCAGGGATGCAAATTTAGACGATAATATTATATCTATAACTTTTCGGAGGAAAATTGTTCATCGTGATATATTATATCTATAACTTTTTGGGGGGAAATTTTCATGACCAATAATATCCTTCCCTTTGTTGGAAGAAGAAATAAATCGATATACTTTGTCTGTTTACGTAATATATAGTAATCGTAGTGTTTACTATTACATACCAGTGGCACTACCATAAGAAGCAAATATTACCAATGATTCCTCTAATTTCCTATACTCTATATTACAAAACCCTTCATAATTTCATTGCATTTTTTTCAGCTTCCTTCAACTTTTATGATTTATCCTCCGCGGATTTGGTAAAATGCATATATAGAATGCTGTATGTATGATGTAGTCCCTGGAATTGATATCATGCCAATCATAAAGGATGAAGTGTTACGAGATCAAACTGGCAATCCAAGGAATTAGGTTTGATCATTTTTAATTAATTATTTGTATTTAGTTATTATTTTTGGATTGTTTGGATTATTTTATTATCATATTTTTTCTAGTCGGATAAAATTTATAGCAATTATTGTTGAGGATTTAATTAATGTTTCTTGTAAGGGAAGAAAAAGAACTCAAATAAAAAAAGGATAAGCAGAGGCCAATTTATGATTCTTTTGTCTTCATTCATGTAGTTGTTTCGTTGCTAATTTGGGATTGCTCTTGTCATTAACAAGATTCTCTACTCGATAGTTTCGAGCAAATTCATAGTCCATAAATCAAAAATTCAGTATTCAATACGTAGAAGTCATCCCCGAAAGCGCAAGAAGCATCTACTTCGTCGACATTGTTCTTTTCTTAAGTGTGTTGCGTTGAACAATTTCGTTGGAATGGGAATGTTGTACTAATTTAATGCTATCAATATAATGTTACATTCCAGCAGCAACCAATGCCTGCCGTCTCATTCTTTAATGAACATAACTAGGGGTGGGCATCCGGTTCGGTAAACCCGGACCGAACCGGACCGAAACCGAGACAACCCGAACCGAAACCGAACATTTGTTATTCGGTTCGGAATTCGGAACTGAAAACCCTATATTTCGGAAACCAGGATCTGTCCAACCGAACCGAGTTTCCGATTCCGAACCGAGCAACCGATCATCCCAACTCTCACACTCATAGCCCACAACCCAAAGCCCAATCTCACACACTCACACCCCAATCCCAAAGCCCACAACCCCAAGGCCCAAGCCCTCCCTCTCTACATCTGTTAGTGGAACCCTAGCCCAGACCAAACCTCACCACTAACCACTCTCAATTCTATCACTCACATGCAGCAATCGCAGCCGCCGGCAGAGAAAGGAGACTAGAGAAGACTTGGCAGATTGGGTGGGATTCTAGGGGATTTAGCTCGTCTCCAACAAAATCACCTCCCATCCCACACCCAATATGCATCCCCTTCAATCCAATCGCGCCGTCGACAGCCACATGCAGGCGACGGGAAGTGGAAGGGTCGCGGTGGGAGAGGACGACCACGGCGGCGGGGGAAGCTGAGCGCGACCACGGCGGCGGAGGGAGCTGAGCACGACCACGGCGGCGGAGGGAGTTGAGTGCGACCACGGCGGCGGAGGGAGCGAAGCCTGATTTATCCTTTCGCCGGCGTCGGATCTGACGATTCAGAAGAAAGTTTCTCGAGGAGGCGGCCATGGCGGTGATGCTTCCTCTGGGCTGGGGACTGCGACCAGCGACTGCTTCTGGGCGAAGTTGAACTCTGATGCTGCTGGGGGGTGGGAGAAGGAAGAAGAGGAGGTGGGAGAGGGAGAAGGAAGATTGGGTTTTGATTTTTTTGGCTGTGGGTCTTCAATGAGAAGATGAAGTAGGGAAAGCAAGGAGAGAAGTCGGGTTCGTCGGTTTTTTAGTTCCGAACCGGAATATATTTCAGTTCGGCCAGACCGAACCGAAATATATTTCGGTTCGGGATCGGTTTTAACTTCGAGTTATATTAGGGTACCGGTATTCTTAGTTCGGTTCGGTTTGAACCGAACCGATGTAAACATAACCATGGCTGAAGTTGAGTGACAATACCATCATTCAGAAATGCGATAACTCCACTGGGAGATCAAGACAGCATAACCAATACACCGGTAGGAACAGTTTGCAGCTGCTCAGTGGTAAAATTATTTCAATTTATCTATAACCGAATGTGCCAGGACAGGAATAACATTTACACGCTAACTTAGCTTTGGTTGGGTCGTTAGATGGACAAAAAAAAACTAAACATAACCTTAAAGGATGGTTGCTGGTTTTTCCCATGTTACCATCCATCCACAAGGGTTCAAAACAACCATTACGCTCACAATTCAATCAGCTGCTCCTTTCTTGGACCTCTCTATCTAAAGTATCCTCCCCTACTGTACATTTCCCCCAGCAACTCGGCCTATACCAACACCAAAGGAACAACGATTAGCACTAACCGAAATGGACCAGGTCGTGTGGTCAGTCAAAAACGAGCTGCGGCTGCTGCTGCACAAAATTGAGGCATGTCTACTCGATTAATACCGCCAATTATGTCAAGACATCCGAGACCTCTTCACATTTCAGCAAGGTGGGTTTTCTTGGTTCCAAATGATGGATGGAAGGAGACTTCACTGCCGCCAAACTTGAAACACCCCAGAATTCAGAGTACGGCTTCTGTCCCCCAAAAAATTGATGAAATAATGATATCAATGCCCGCAGTTTGCCTATTCAGAGTCCGTATCAATAGAAAGGTACAAGCGCTGCCTCACAGAGCGCTTCTGTCTAGGGAACGAGAAAGGGCTTTCAGTTCTCGGGCGACTTGCCTTTTCAGATCTGCCCCCGCCATTCATCCCAAGAAGTAATGAGGCTGCAAAACAGACACAGCAACAACCACCAGTGCACTTATCAGAACCCAAATGCTAGAGAGAAGCGGAATTACATAAATTGCCAAAACAGACCAGACAGCTTTCCTATGTAAGCCTCGTACGTAAACAAGTATATCAATTTCGCTACCCATATCAGCAACAAATTAGTTTTAATTGCATAAATCAAGCCTTTCATGGAAAAGAAGCAACTAACCTGTATCAGCCAAAGAATCCATGGTACCATCTCTATTAGGAGGCATTGACTGTCTTGAAGTTAAGCTGCCATTTGCAAGAGGAACAGATTCAACATGACCACCACCCCCGGTAGTTGCAGCACTGCCCCCCAGCCTAAGAGAGATCCAATCCTCAGATCGGAGCCCACCATTATTAGACGAAACATCAACCTGATGATCTCTCACATTGGAATGCATCGATGAATCTGAAGGCCTGGTCGGAAGAAACAGTTGTAGAGAAGGATCTTCCTCGAAAGCCAATGGATTATCAACCAACCCATCATTCCCGTCAGATCTACCCACAGAAGTATCTGGTGGGACCAAATTAACATGTCCCATGTCAGTATCGGGACCCAAACTGTATCCATTAATTGATGTGGGACCATGCTGCAAGTCACCCAAAGGATCTGAGACATCTGAACTAAATAACTGGAACCCAGGGCCGCCCTGGGATGGTGGCCAGAGGGGCAAACCTCCATACTCATCATCATTCTCATTGAAAAGACCCAAGCAGGAAGTTCCAGCAGCAGTGACAAGATTAGGATCCTCAGGATAAGATGGTTCAGGAATCCCAGATCGGGCGGCCTCTGAGAAACCAGCCACACCAACATCATTCTGGTTGTTGTTGTTGAAGCCAGTCCCTGAGGACACAAGGATATCATTATCGTCATCATCTGTATCACTAAGAACAATGATCTCGGCTGCATCCCGTGCCACTGGAGCAGAAATATGCTGTGCACCAAACCCAAACGTAGGATCTATATTGAGAGCTAATGAATCGAGTTCCATTCCTCCACTATTATTGTTAAAATCCAAATTCCCATCCTGATTCACACTTGGATCCTCGCCTTCATGGCCACTGCCAGTTCCGCTGCTAGTCATGGGAATAACTTTCTGCCCAAAGTTCTCCGGCTGCAATCTCTTATTCCCTGAAGAACCATTCATACCCTCATGTTTGCTGACTACCCAAAGCCCATCACGGTTCTTCCTAAGTCCAAGTTTCAAACCATTAATAGTACCGTGACCTTCAGAATTACCTTCCTGCTTGACTTGCTTCCCTGTTTCCACAACCTCTGACTGAACCACCTCATTTGGTATGCTACATAGAGTACCGTCAGGATTGTGCCACTGTGCAAGTTCTCCCACTTCTCTACGCTCAGCTTCAGTTTTCGTTTTCACGCGCCATGAACCATTAGGCTTTACTTCAATCTCTGTTATATCCTCGCCACAGTGCCTCATCTGTAAACACAACAGAATAAGCAAAACATAAAGCTAAGGTTCATGTCCGCAAAACACAAAAATATTTACTAGAATTCTAAACAGGAAAGCAATACCTTATTGGTGACGCGATTGAAATAAGGATCGACGATTATACTATCCAAGGAGTAGTTCTTGAGACAAATGGGGCATTGCCACTGCACAGAATCCACACACACCATTCAAAGAGACATGAGAACAAATAATTAGAACCCTAAAAAAAGAAAAACAAAGGGATGAACGCTAGTTACTTGCCTTCCTAGAGCGCTGATTAAGCTCAACAAAAACATCAAGGTCAAAACAGCCCATGTGAACACACGGTTTAAATCTTCCAGCAACTTTCATTCTTGAGCCACTCATCTGTGAAAAGGGGACACCACAGAATCCACAATTTGATAAGAGCGTGGCGGGCAGTGTCAAAAATCTAATAACTAAAGGACCGATGACATACAAAACAAAAGTTTGGATGTCCAGTACTGAAGGGAACAGCTATTCAAAGGTCCATTACATAAATCTCCTGTAACTCCCACCACTTCAATGCTTCACAAGAAATAATAAAAAGATCACTTACAGGACAACGAAGATTGACAGTAATAGAGTCTGCGACAACTTCTAAATCGCTGTCACTGTCAGCACCGTCAGTTGGAGCTCCACCACCAACACAACGGCAAACACGAGCAAGTGCGTCCTCAAAATGTTCACCATCAGACTCTTTAGGTATTAACCCAAGTATCTGAAATGATAACATGAAATAATACTTAGCAGAAACATGCATAATAGAGCAGCTCCCTGTTTTATTAAAAGTGTGAATAAAGCTCTGATTAGAATCAGCTCAGTGCTTAGAAGAGAACTTCACACATCAAATATAAGAGACAAGAATTAATGAGAAATTCAAAACTATATACATTGTGGGATACTTCTGACCATCAAACGCACTCTTCTGGTATTATATTACAGATAACAAAAGTCCATCATCTTGAGAAGATTGGAAGCATACAAATTGAACGCTTACCTGTTGAAGTGTACGCCGCTTCACTATCCTTACCCCCAAGCAGAAACTCCGAGCATCACATCCAGATAATGATATTTTATTGATCCCATCCTTCGTACATGGCGTGATCTAACCGACAATAAAGATGTTCAAAGAAGGTTGAAGATGTTAGCCAAACTACAAAAAAAAAAAAAAAAAAGCTTAAGGCTCTACTTGGCCAATGACTCTGCTAGACTGGGAATAGAACCACCCTACAATAATTCATACAGCAAATAATTATAATAACAAATATCCCAAGAACAAAAGCAAAAACTCACAATTGGACCATCATCACGGCCATTTGCCCCGAGCAGTTGCGAGCCAGGTCTATTGATCGCACGAACAGGTACACCTGTTTACCCAAACAAATTATAAATCTCATATTAAGAAACCAAAAGTGAGAAAACTAGTTAATAGACACATCCATGAAAGAGTGAGTAATTATCATACCATTGACTTGTAAATCAGCATATTGAGGCCACTGCATCCTAAATGGGACTTTGTCATGCAAAAGCATGCACCATGCCTAAGATAGGTGGGAAATAGAAACAAAAAATCACTTTTTACATATATCTGAACTCCTGGAATGAAAATTTGAAGAAAAGCATTAAAATCAATCAACCTGCACATCAATTTCTGGCTTATTCAATAGGTCCTTATCTGCCCTCGTCAGGTGAAATGACTTCTCTATATTCTGCACTGGATTTGTACTGGACAATATTGAATATAAGCCACTACAGTAGGCAGATGAAATGTACAGCATACAACTAGATATGAAAGCCTATCAATTAATGGCAAGACGAAATTAATGCAAGTAAGACAGTACTTTATTTGGGCTTATGCTCAGCTGTATATTGGCAGAGGAGAAGGGCAAAGAGATGCAACTTACATAGTCAGAATTCCTAAAGCTAACAAGCAGCATTTCTCCCAAAATATAGTATATGCCCACATACCCCAAATATAGAATTACTGTGCATGAGAACTATATGAAAAACTTACACACCAAACCCTACAACAGCAAAATGCAAACTAGCTTATTTCATAGAGTTTATTGGACAAGTACATACACCTCAGATCTAAATGCAAAGCATCTTAAGGAAAAGAAATGAACAGCACATTCAAGCTCCTCGGAAATCACCAATACAATAACGATAAACCTACCCATCAGTTGGGATATTTGTAGTGGCCAGCTTCACAGGAGATAGTGGATGTGCCATTGCAGTCCAAAAGCTGCAGATAAAGTTTACTTCATATTAGAAGGAAACACTAATGTGATGTGTGGGAGCATAAAAAGAGAGTTGAAGTTTTAACAAAAGTATTAATAGAAATCAGACCGACATATTACTAATGTTGCAATAGACTAAAACAAGAAATCATAAGAGATAAAAGGAACCTGCATTCAGCTCCCGACACAAGGCAACCATTGAACAATGGAGATGGAGGGTAAACTATGTATTGACTATATCTGGATTAGTTTTGCTGACTCAGTACTACAGAATATTCCAAACAAAAAGTTGTAAACGAAGTCAAATCTTGTTCCCACTACAGGATTTTCCTCATGTCATCTTCCTGATCTCCAAAATTTTCAATGTCAATTAATCTGCTTCACCATCTGTCATTTCAAAAGTTCGGCTCCACACAGTGGACTGTACAGGAAAAACAAGTTTGCCACTATGCTCATGAATACTTGCCTTAATAACACCAAGAGAAAACAAAAAACTTAACAGCGCCACAGTTAAAGCTTTCACCTAGTCCCCCTTTCCTAGTTAGGCATAGTTATAATTAACCATTAAACACAAGGATAAGTTCCTAAATAATCCACCCCGAAGTTTGGCCTATATCACGAGCCACAAAGGCACCTCAAATAAAGATGTTTGCAATAACAAAGAAAAAGGAAAGGTATAGTTAAAGCTGCTAGTAAAAACACAAAATAACCCGTTAAAGTAGGCGTGAAAGAGCTAAATAATTTTTTTTTACAAAAAACTGAATTCAGCACCACAGTTAAAACATAACAAGCGAGTAGATAAATGATCCGTACGGGTCAGCTCGGCTCAGTCGACAAATCTCACAGTAAAACACTTCTGGAACTTGGGGACTTCCTTCCATAGGTTTGTCAGCAACTATAACACAACCAATATGCTGCCACACCTGGCATCTGGGATCCTCACACTGCAGTGGCAAAAATATTGATTCCGCATATTAACCACAATAAAATCAATCTTAGGCGATAAAAGTGGAGCCTTGTTCAAGTCCTTCCACTCTTCACACGCTTGTGCAAGAAAAGTGTGGAACAATTGAAAAGTGAACTTAATACTTCCGAAATGGTTATCATGCTGTGATTAAATAATCAATAGACTACAAATGGTTGATAACAATATTTTGTAAGCAAGATATTACAGCAAAAAATAGGTTGAAAATAAATGTGAAGGGTCATGCTCCTCATACCCCAAGAGACGCTGATCCATGCACAATAAACTAGGTGTACATAGGAATAGCAAAAGTGCCAAACAAAATCAAAGAAAACTAAAACTCCATAGATTTAACAAATGCAAATCACCTTAATCATTGACTCTGTTTCCAATGTGCTGCCACAAGGACACCGAACTTTTGTATTGCTGGGAAAAGAGTCCTCGGGTTCTCCTTTAACAAGTTTTGTATTTGAATTGCTGCTATCCAAAACACATTGCGCCTTTGACGCTAAATCAGTACCTGAGACCTGCATTTTCCTGAAGATGATGATAAGAGTACATTTTAGTACTTGATCGGTGAGGTATGTGTAAAATGAACGAAGTTAATAGTAGAGATGATCAAAGCTGACTTGCTTAGACAATTATTCTCAACATAAAATGCCTATATGGAAATACCTAAGCTATCAGGACAATCGGGAAAATTAATTTAAAAGTCAAGAGATGCCATTAAGAACCTGTAAATGTCGTCAACGAGTTTTGCTGCTTCGTCCCTTCCAACAACACCCCTCTTTGGCCACGCCTTGGAACCTGAACATAGGTAAACAATCATTAATACCAAGCAGTGGATGATGAAATAAGTGTGAGAGACTAAATGTACATGATCGACAAACATTATATTTCAAGCATTATAAGAATAATAATGCCTACAACTGACAGCACCTGTAGTGTGACAGTAGTAAGACTAATATAGTTCAATTTCCATTCAGTTTTGTGTAACTAATCTAATTGAGCAGGTACTTTCCCTTTGAGAAAATGGTTTCAGAAAACAGCTACTGTGACATAGTACAAACAAATACTAGGAAAAAAAATTATATCCTCATCAACAGCCAAAATGAACCAAAAGTCACAATGACAGCCACAGAAGGTAAAGTACGAGACGACCGGAAGCAGAGAGGTGAGTATGCAACAGTGGGGAAGCATTTTACCTTGTGCATCGAGCAGGACATTCAATATGCGATCAACCAGGTCCTGCACAGTACAAGTAACAGCAACAAAGAAACAACAGCATGATCAAGAGCACTTAATGCTAATTAGCAACGAATGCCAAAGCTCAGTACGAAGAATGATCATGAACTAACCTGCTTTTTCCCCTGTTTTGAAAGCCCTAACTGAGTCAGGACATCCTTGAGTTCCTTTATTCGAAAATATGCCAACTTTTCCTACAAGAGAAATGGTATCTCTCAAATCCGTCTGGCGACAACAAGTGCAAGAAATTGAGAAAATCTGATAGCAGATATGTGTAGATAAAGAGAGCACATAACACACTGAAAGTTGGATAGAATAACTCCAAATCTAATCCCAAGACTATCGTACTTCAGCCTGAGTACAAACAAGATGTGGTAGCCACCTCAGTCAACTATTCCATTTCAGATACTATCTGCTGCAAGGAAAGAACAATCCAACCAAACTCCAATCCGTTCGAGAAGACCATGTCACAGATGCTCAAGCGGAACAGCAGTAATGCAGAAGCATATCCTACTTGGTGGTTCCCACTAAGTGCAAAATAAGACTGTGAAGCAACTGAACAAATAGCACAACACAATTGTGAATACGCGGTTCCACATTGCTGCATGCTTCAGCAAACCTCTGAAAGGGATTCCTTTTTACAATTAAACAGTAATACAAAGGGCAGAGAGACAATTCTAACGACAAACAGAAATTAGCTGCAGCCGAGAAGGGGAGATTTCAGCAACGAATAACACTGCTGCCTCCATAATTCAAACCAATTTACCTTACAACTATTCACCAAATCCATCTTCAACAACCTCCTCTCCTAGAACGCCTCCGCCCAAAAGAATCCCCAGCAGCAACCAATCCGATAGCTAAACCATCAATGATTGCCGAGCAACAACACCAGTCCGGAAACAGCAAGTGATCTACTCAAAATCTACCGCAACAATTCCACAACGCCACGGAGGGAAGAATCGAAATCAACCACGAAACACCACCCAAATCGAGGAAGATGGGAAACACAGCCGCATCAGAAGCATCCCAGGCACTTATGGCGGCTGCAACAGAACCGAAACAGAAGCAGAAGAAAGAAGAGAGAAGGCCTAATTAGGGTTTCGACTGCGGGGTGAAACCTTCAACCGCCGACTCCTCTCTCTCTCTCTCTCTTCTTCCCTCGGTATAGTGCTTCGTTGTTGTAGCGTTTTCCCTTGGAATTTTTTTTTTTTTTAACAACTCTTTATTGACCGGAAGAAGGAAAACGAAGGCGGAGCCTATCTCTCAGTCAAAAACGGGGCCGGACCTATCGGCGATTCTAAATTCCGGTTAATTGGACGAGAAACGTCCGGGTTTTGCTCCGCTGCTTCTCGCAGGGTGGCCGGTCCAGGTGCACTGTCGTGTCACGCACGCCCTTCCTTCAATTTTTTTTGTTTGTTTTTCTCTTTTTTTTCTGTCATAGATAAAATAATAATAGATAGTTGATTAAAATAGATTACAAAAATAAAAGCGCTAGATCGCCAGTCAATACTAATTGAATTGTCGATGAAAGAGCCGTTTTCGCCATGTAATGGGCAATTTCAGTGATAGGGTTGGGCATGTGGGTGGGTCACCCGCGGGTTTGGGACGATTCGTCCGCATTTGACCCGAATTTCGTTATGTGGGTGGGTCTGTGGTTAGCTGACGTGTTGTGCTCTGAGGCGTCCGTCGGGTGGTGAGTGGGTTGTGGGCGGGTGCGCGGGTGACCCGCTCAACCCAACAGCAAAAAGAACAAAGTCGTTGGCGCAGGAGAGTGGAGATGTTGACGAAAACTAGAGTTACTCTTGGAGATTGAATCTCAAAGCCAATCTTTCAAATCTAGACTTTCCTCTTCTTCCCTTTGTTTTTTCCTCTGATTCTTGTGCCCAAATCACATCTCTATCTTCTTTTGAATTATTTTTCTTAGTTTCCTGCACCAGATAATCATCTCCATCGTAGAAAACTACTCAATAATAGAATTTCTATCCAATTTCAAAACGAATTCGATATTTTTTCTTCCTATTTCATCTTCTTGTTTCCGTCTGATAACTATCCACTCACTTGAAGTGAATCTCAAATTTGGAGGGTGAATGGATGTTGAAATGGATTTTTATTTTACATATCGACATTATACAGGGGGTTCTGGAATATAAATGGATCATGTCAAGTTGACTCCTTTATATTATGTACATTTTGATGTGGGTGAACCCGCAAACCCATATGCATCATCCACTATCCACCCTACCCAACCCGAGACTAAATATGGGTGGATGGTGAGTTAAAAATCGTCAATCTGTTTAAGCGCAGGTGGGTGCATTTTATGGTCAAAATCCACCCAACCCACCCAATACACACCCCTACCCAGTGGTTGATACTTGATACACAATAGGGTTTTCTTTTGAGTCAGAAATTTATTTGTCTCATGCGTAGACTTTTTCACCTGACTCGTCACCAAGATCTCGTCTCTCGGTCTTCTCGAGGGAGGATAAGATGACTAGATGGTGTGCTTAGTCACTTAACTAAATTTCTTCCCGACTTTAAATATAAACATGCAAATCTAATGATTAAAAAATGAGAAATTTTTATAATTAGTGACAAGATTAATTTTGGTATCATGAAAAATTACAAACTATACAAATCGGACTTACAAACAATACAAACTAGAACTATAAAACATACAAACAGATTTACAAACAATACAAAACATACGAACTATACAAATAATAAAAACTTGACCAAAAAACAATACTAACCATATAAAATGGAAAAACAACCAGGTTGACTTTGGAGGCTTTGTACCTATATAGAGAAGTTTCATCCAAAAGTCAACACATTTGTTTTTTAGACATACAAACATTACAAACCCCTGGTTTGTGGTGGGCTCATACACAGAGGGCATGACAGGATTCGTAAGAAATAAGACTTTGCCTTTATTTGGTGGCTTGGGCTACTGAAATACAAAGGATTTTGTCTCCTGGGTCGCTGATTCTGGGAGCTCTGGGTTTTATCCCATGTCACACACACAAATAAATATACAAAAACGAGAGAAAAGAAAAAAAGACAAAGACAAAGAGAGGGATAAAACTCTTACATAATTCACTTTCCAACGATTAAGAGAGTACTCGACAACGGCGTCAAAATTTTGTCTTCAATTGTAGCAGCGGAACAAATTTACCTGGGCCAAAGGCCAGGATCGTATTCCCTAAAGCCTCTCACAACCACTTACTCAGGTGGTGAGGGACGAGTTCTATATTGAAGGAAAACTTATGTAGGAGGTTGAGGTGCCTCATGTTTAGCAAAACAGAAAATGAAGTGTAGGAAAAGTAAATATATTCTAATTGGGAGAGTGAAGACACAAATGAGAGAGGTGTTGCATAGGCAAAACTCCCCCTAGAGTTCCTAGATATATTTCCCTCGATACTAGCAACATACGAGTTGATGATTTTTCTTATGTAATCTAATCCCACTTTGATATATATTACGGATCAATGGGTGACAAGGATCCTACCGATTTTTTCCTAGAGGTGTCATGTCGTTTGATCAAATTATGATTGATCGAGTAGAGCCGCCATGTATGGTCTTGCTCTAAACGACAACAATTTCGGTACTTGCAACACGAAGGGATTCAAGCTCAATTATGCTTTCATCCAAACCAACAAGAGATAACATAGAGGAAATCATTCATAAACGATAATAAGATGAAAATTAGTCATATAAAATACCAAACATCGAGTTTTACAAATCCAGAACCTTTAGGTTTCGCACATCTATGCAACTAAGGGATTAGGTGGCCATGGGGGCGGGTTATGCGGAGTCGCCAATTGAAACAAAGATCCCAAAAGACCTCTATAATTGGTTGCCGCAATAGAGAAATAGATTCTTAGAGTGCTCATTTTGCCGTCGATTCCTTCCTCGATACAGGTCTCACTCTAAGTAAGGAGGGTACTTTGTCGATAGAGTAACGAGCTCTAACTGCCTCCTATCACTAGCTATCAAGTTATAAACCCTAGAGACCTTTGTAAAGGTGTTGGATTAGGGTATGCTAGGAGAGAAACTCTAACGTGATGCGTCATCCAACCAGTCAGAAGAGTCCTTCCATGCAACGACTACTTTAGGATAATTTATGGACGCCTTCTTGATGAAGTTAGCACTTCCTGAAATCAGCAGCCACAACATTGTTTCTCATCATGGGACGCCAAAATTTGCACCATTTATGGGCCTAGGTTACATTCCTCGAATCCTTGCTCCAAAAGCTAGGCTTTGATGTCCCACGAGCTCCAAAGTGGTCAATTGACATGCTTTGACCTGAAAATGCACATAACGGTACTAAAAGGGTAATTTGGTAATAAAAGCAGTGTCAAACTCACTTTGAGTATTCTCATAGAAAATCCAATGTACAATGACGATAAAATAAGAAATAAATGCACTTTCGATCATAATATGGGGGTATAAAATAGTGCGTTTCACGTGTCATCAATAGTGCTCCAACTGAAAGAAGAAGAACGTGCCTAGTTCTACTACAAATAAGTCCAAGGATCTTGGTGAGTTGATCTTCGTTTCTTTCTAGATTTTTTGTGCTCTTTGTGGTTGGTTTTTTTATGGAATTGTGTTTTAGGAATTTTATTGGTTAACGGCTACAACAAGAGAGAAAGGGAAGGTTGCTAATAACATTGTATTTGCACATGTTTCCCATCCATTTCTTGATCGTTTATCTTGGTGACTGATCATTCTTTGGCCTGTTTTATGCTACTTTTTTCTTATTTGATGTATTTTAGGCCCTAACAAGTAAATGAAGGCTTGTATGCAAGTTTCGGGGCAATCAGAGGTCAAACGAGCTCAAGCGGAGTTTAGGAGTGGGTGCTGAAAAATGTGCACTGTCACGCAAATATATGCACGGCTGTGCAACGTTTCCAAAGAGTTTGCACGGTCAAACTTCAATTTTCATGGCCATGGATGGTCCCTTGTCGCATTCAAGTGAAATGGTTCATTTTGGTGTGCACGAACTTGAAGGTTGGTTTGCACAGCCGTGCACTGCCTGTGCAACCGCACAGCTACTAATTATAACCCAATTTTGGGAGCTTGAGAGGGGATTCGAGTTTTAGGAGCCAAAATAAAGTTTTAGAAAGAAAGTGACAAAGAACAAGACCTAGAAGCTATCTAGAGCTTATTTCTAACTATTGAAGCTCGAATTTTGTCCCAAGGTGTGAAGATGGACATCCCAAAGCAGATTATACATATCTCCATGAGTATGGTTGCTTTGTATTTGGTTTTCATTTCTCTCTCTCTCTCTCTCTCTCTGGAGTAAACATCCTTCTCATTTGGGTATGAATAATCCTAGTTTCATGTGTTAGGGATCTCGTAATGACCTTTGGATGTTATACTGTTTGGTTTTAATAAATTGAGGCATGAATTGTTCAGTCAATTGGATCTTGATCACATATTTTTTATTTCTGCTTCAACCCATGATAGGTAGAATCTGATTGGGTTAAGATAGCTTCTTCTATTGATAGTAGTGAATTGATTGTACGAGAGTAAGTCAATTCACTACTTTGTACTTAAATTAATTCCAAGTAGTGGAGATTTTTGTGAATTTCCTTAGCATTCTATTCTAGTGAAGGTTAGTCGCATGTCGGGTATTTTGTCTAAGAGGGTTTGGTTGGCTTAAGAGATTCCAGGTTATTATCGAATCTTCCGCAGTTTAATCCACAGTAAAACGACCAAAAGAAATTACAACTTGGAACTGAGGAGCAAGGTCTCACCCCCTAAGCCACGACCACTCTAGCAATCTGAGTATTCACACGTTTTCATCCTACCAGATGGCCAGGGCGAGTTAGCATGCACTGATGGTCCCCTCCGTGTGCATGGCCACTATCTGAAGCTGTATCTCAAGAGTGATGTGGATCTGCTCTTGGAGACACCTATTTATTTTCCTTTTTCTTTTCATTTTTGGTATTTGAGTCATTATGTTTGTCTTAAGTCTATCTTGAACATATTCTATAGCCGTGGATGACATGTTTTTGTCTGTGATCTGCTCTTGGAGACACCTATTTATTTTCCTTTTTCTTTTCATTTTTGGTATTTGAGTCATTGTGTTTGTCTTAAGTCTATCTTGAATATATTCTATAGCCGTGGGTGACATGTTTTTGTCTGTGGTTGTGTGGTTTTTCAAGCGGGGCCACGGATGGGGGTTGAATGTTTGGAAATGTGGTGTTGAGGGTAAGCAGAATAGGTCGCGGCATAAAAAACACAAACGTGTTTCCAATAGT